GGGCCGGGGTCCCTTCAATATCTTTATAGTAGACACTTGAGTCCCCCTAACCTGTGCTGCTTTTCTGCCTACAGAAATCTCACCATTAAAACTTCATAACCATAGGGATGCCTTGTTTTGCTGTTACAGTGCAAATGCTATTCCGCTGAAGGTGGGTCTTGCCAGCAACCCCTGTCTTTGCTTTTGATGACTTGCTCATATTTCCCTGTGGGGAAATTTTAGGGAACTTCCTGTCCCTGATCTTTCACCTTATCTTGTCACAAGTCTTCTCATGGCTTCCCAGGACCAAGCCTCTGCTTATACCACTGGCCTCGGCAGAGGCCCAGCCCTGCAGCTGGGCTTGGAGCCCAACTTGGAGTTCTAGCTCTTTAATTTCTTCCAGGACAAGGCATCGCCTGTGGTCATGTTACCCTGCCTTTTTTTTTTTTAATCACAGACAGCTGAGCTGTTAAGCATTTTTTTCCATCAGACTATAACTGTTGTATTAATATAACCTCACTACCCGGTAGTCACACACATTCACCAATGTGTACCCTTTAACTCATTCTCTTTATTCCCTTTTATTCTCTGATTTACTTAATTTAGAACCTTGAAGTTGGAAGAATCATCGGCCCAACTTCTCTCCCAATATAGAAACCTGTATTCCATTGGTAGCTACTCATAGCTTGGTAGTTAAGAGAGTGGCTTTGAAGTCAGGCATGACCTACCATTTACTGGTTGTGTGACCTTGGATACTTGACTCTTCTGTGTTTCATTATCTGCAAAATGTAATTAATAATAGCAAATACGTACCCTGTTTCCCCGAAAATAAGACCTAGCCAGAAAATAAGCCCTCGCATGATTTTAGGTGCCAAAATATGGCACCTTGGCATACTGAATATTTTAAGTTGAAGGAGTTTGTGGAAAAGGCACCCTTCTCCCTGAAATAGGTCCTAAAATCCTCATGTGAGGGGGGCGTGCCCTCCATATCCTGGAGGAATCATGGTAGGGCTTCTTCTCCGGCTAGGTCTTATTTTCCGGGAAACAGTAGTAGGAACTCAACATTAGTCATTTTCTATAAAGGGTCTGCTTATACAACTTATTAAATGAACTTTATCTTGTGGAAACTGTTAACTAGTTTTTGGAATGAGACTATATTCCTCTGTAATTACCCACGGGTCTTGCTCTGCCTTCTGGGGCAGTCAGTCTATACATAATAAAAGTCCCTGCTCCAGAGGCCGCTCTTTGAGGTACCTGAAAGTGGCATTCATGCCCTCTGAATCTTCTATTTTTGGGGCTCAATGACAACTTCAGTTCTTTTAGTAGCTTCCTAGGCCACAGCCTTAATTTGGTTTCTGGGCCCTTGAAAACTGTGATTACTGTCATTGGGATCTGTTCTGGGATGTCAGTGTCCTTTTGCAAAGAATGGTACTCAGAATTGAACTTAGGACCCTAAAGATAGAGCCACCCCAGCAATGAGGTGGCTCTCCCATCTTATATCTTTTCATGCAGCCTAAGGTAAAGTAGCATTTACTTTTTTGGTAGCTGCATAATACAGTTGACTAATATTAAATAGACAGTTGGCTAAAACCTCGCATTTCTTTTTTTTTATTTTTATTTTTAATTGTGGTAAAATACACCTAACAAAATTTTCCATTGTAATCAAGTGTACATTACAGTATTCTTAATCACGTGTCCATTGTTGTGCAACATCTTTTGAACTTTTTGTATCATATATGACTGCAACCCTGCACACCTTGAACAATTCATTTCCTCCTCTGTCATCCTCCAGTAACCACTATTCTACTTTGTTTCTATGAGCATGATTTAGGTACCTCATACAGTGTCTGTCTTTTTGTAATTAGCTTATTTCCCTTAGCCTGCTGTTCTCCAGGTTCATCCATGTTGTAGCATACAACAGGAGTTCCTTCTTTTTTTAAGGCTGAATGATATTCCATTGTATGTTTATCCATTCATCAGTTTATCTGTTTTGTTTATCTGTTGATGGACACTTGGGTGGCTCCCACCTTTTGGCTATTTTGAATAATGCTGCTATGAACATGGTATAAAAATATCTGTTGGAGACCTTGCTTTCAATTCTTTGGATATATACCTATAAGTGGAATGGCTGGATCATACGGTAATTCTATTTTTTAATTTTTGAGGAACCTCTATACTTTTTCCCCACAGTGACTGCACCATTTTGTATGCCCACTAACAGTGCACAAGGGTTCCAGTTTTTCCATATTCTCACCAACATTTTATTTATTTATTTATTTATTTATTTATTTATTTTGCATAGTAGTCATCCAAATGAGTATGAGGTAATATGTCATTGTGGCTTTGATTTGCACTCCCCTAATTATTGACAATGTTGAGTATCCTTTTGTGTGCTTGTTGGCCATTATCTTTAATCATGTTTTTCCATCCAGATTTTTAAGCCCAGGATTTGTTTTATCTCTGTCAAGCCTCAGCTTATTTATATCCTCTTGTTCCAGTTGGTTGAGATCATTTAGATTCTAATGCTTTCATCGTTAGTTTAGTGTTTCTTCCAGCTTCATGTCAACTTTATATTAGACATATCTGGCCCAAATCATTTTCTCCTCAGCCAAGTAAAGATGGCTGACCTTCTGACTTTTCAGTGACTAGCCTGCCAGAAAATTTTTTTCCTCCTGTTCCTAAAGGGAGTAGCAGTGCTGGTGGATTTCTTATATCTTACTGGATCCTGCTCAAAATTATTGATCTAAGTAATCTTAATCATCCAAATGGGTTTGTAGCTGTTACTTCTCATCAGAAACATATTCAGTGCTATCTATAAAGTGTTGGTTTCCACATGGGATGCTGAGGAGACATGGGCTGTATCTCCAGGGCGACAATAGAAAATTAAATATGCACATGGGAGAGAGAGGAGACACATAATGGAGGGGCTGAGTATTGTTTCCACCTGAGAGCATTTCCATAATCATTCTTCTCTTCACTCCTCCCATCCATCCCCTCCTTCCCTCCATCCCTCCTTTCTTCCTCCCTCTCTCTTCCATTCCTCTCTCCCTTCTCTCTTCTTTTTTCTTTGCTCTTTCCCTTTCTTCTTTCTTTAACAAACATTTATTGAGCACCTACTGTGTACCAGGCATTGAGTCAGGGGATGTTGTGGAAGGAGGCGATACAAAAGTTGATAGACTCTGGCCTCCCTTTGAGAGGAGTTTGCACAACTGAATTACAGACAGAGCAGAGCTGTGCTCAGATGTAACTGTCCAAAACTCTCACACAGAATTCACAAAGTGTCNCGTCCTCCACAACTAGACTGAAGAACAAAACGACAGCAACTTGTCTGTTCCCCTTCCCCCAATTCCCCAGCATTGTTCCCATTCCCCCAATTCCCTAATAAAAATTTAAAAAAAAAAAAAGAAAATATGTGTTTTCTGATGGTCTTAGGCGACCCCTGTGAAAGACTGAGAACCGCTGGTCTAGAGTGTCCATTTTACAGATGAGGAACCTGAGGCACAGAAATTAACTTGCCAGCGTCACTCAGCTAGGAAGTGGGCGGTCAGGATCAGAGCCAAGGTCTCTTCACCTCCAAATATAATTTGCTCCTAAACCTCACTGCCTCAGGCATAAGACTGAGACGATCAGTCAAAGAATTGAGAGTTGTCACTAGCTTAAGGTATTTTTCTAAAATTGACTTGGTGATCCACAGAGTGACTTGGTGATCCACAGAGTTGATGATTGTGAGTTTGGAGAAGTCTGGTGAAGAACCCTAGGCCTAGTACTTTGTAAAGGCTAATTTTTAAAAATGAAATATTTCAGACATAACAAGGTTTAAAGAATAAAAAAATGAACACCCATGAACCCACTGCCATCTTTAAAAATATTACCAATACAATTGAAGTCCCTTGGGTATCCTTAATCATATCCTACTTCCTGCACTCCCAGAAGTAACTACTACCCTTAATTTGGTAGTTATTCCTATGCATTTTCTTCATACATATGTGTCCATTAACTTATGGTATTGTTTTACATCTTTTAAATTTTTATATGGCATTTGGTTGAGAGTCCCCAAGACCACCTCTATGTTCAGAGATTCACTAGAAGGACTCACAGGATTCAACATATANTTTTTTTTCTGAAAAGTTCTAATGCTTTTAATGAACCTCATGACTTCCTATTAGACTCTTACTCCTGCTGTCTCTCCTTACCCTTGTCTAGTGGGAACCCCTGAGGCCACTGATGGAAGCCAGATTACCTGGACATCGGACCATGAACCCCTGTCCTGTGTGGGAGCAGAAGACTGGCCGAGTATACCTATTCTTCATCTGTGTGTGGGGCCATGTCACCGAGCGTCAACAGATTATGTCAGGCAGGAATGCTGCCCGCCTTTGCTTCATTTGTAGTAAGGACTCAGGCTATTCATGGAGCGACGTGAGGGACCTGACTGAGGAGGTCATTGGCGCAGAGGTGAAACACTGGGCCACATTTGCTGTGGGCCCGGGTCATGGCATCCAGCTGCAGTCGGGGAGGCTGGTCATCCCTGCGTATGTCTACTACATCCCTTACCGGTTCCTTTGCTTCCGGTTACCATGTAAAGCCAGGCCTCATTCCCTGATGATCTACAGTGATGACCTAGGAGCCACATGGCACCATGGCAGGCTCATTAAGCCCATGGTGACAGGGGAGTGCGAAGTGGCAGAGGTGACTGGGAGGGCCGGCCACCCTGTGCTGTACTGCAGTGCTCGGACACCAAATAGGAGCCGTGCAGAGGCTCTCAGCACTGACCATGGTGAATGCTTTCAGAGGCTGGCCCTGAGCCAACAGCTCTGTGAACCCCCACATGGCTGCCAAGGCAGCGTTGTGAGTTTCCGGCCCTTGGAGAACACACATGGGTGCCAGGACCCTGCTAGGAAAGATGAACCTACCATTCAGCAGAGTCCTCTGCTGGACAGCTCACAGGGGCTAGAGCAGGAAGCTGGAACAGGGTCAGAATCATGGCTCTTGTACTCACACCCAACCAATAGGAAGCGGAGGCTCAACCTAGGCATTTACCTCAACCGGACCCCCTTGGAGGCTGCCTGCTGGTCCCACCCCTGGATCTTGCACTGCGGGCCTTCTGGCTACTCTGATTTGGCCGCTCTGGAGGAGGGCTTCTTTGGATGTTTGTTTGAGTGTGGGTCCAAGCGGGAGTGTGAGCAGATTGCATTCCGCCTGTTTACAGACCGAGAGGTCCTGAGCTACGTGCAAGGGCACTGCCCCAGCCCTGGTAGCAACTCTGAGCCAATTCAAAACTAACTGCCTTAGGATACAAATTTCCACAGGAGGGAAACCATAGAAAGCAACCACAGCCAGGATCACGGAGGCCAGGATAACAGAGGTTACTAAAGTCTGCAGGAATCCCAAGGCTTCCTACTTTTTTGTACCCCTCCAAAGAGCAAAATGAAAATTTTGCCATAGTTATTGCAGTGGCAATAACACTGAACTGTGTGGGTTGGGAGACCATGATGTGATCCTGGGCCGGCCACTGGCTTGCTTTGGGACCTTGGACATGTGGCCTGAACTCTGGACCTCGGGTCTGCATCTGTAAAATGAGAGGATTGGTTCTGTGATTTCTCTTCTTCCCACCCCAGGGAAAGGCACAGTGCCAGCATGCTCCGTGGTCAGCAAGTCCTGGCTGCATCTAGGACTCAAAATGGAGGTCAGAGGATTCATCTTGTCAAATGACTCACTGCTCGTCCAAGTGTGAGGTGACAAGCAGGTGTCATGGCATGAAGAAAGATCTGGATGGTTTGTTCAATTTTTAATAACAGAAAACACCCACACCCTTCTAATCATGCTCAGAGCTCCACAGGCCCTCTGTCCTAGAGGAATTGGACAAGACAGCAGAATCATGAGGTCACCTACCTTCTCCAGCTCTGCAACTCTGCTCAGCCTTCCCTTCCTCAGCCAGAAAGCATGATTTCCTAGGGAGAAAAAGAGAAGCTCGACGCTGGTGGGCCTCATTGTTTCTTATGGCTTTACTCCTATGAAAGATGCACCTGAAATGCATTTATTAGGATGCCTCCTGATAGGAAAAGGACATGGGTTAGGACTTTAAAGTGTTGGACAAAACCTCCCACGGCCTCTGCTCTCAAGGAGCTTACAGTTTATGAGGCCAGAAGAGGGAGAAAATTCAAGGAAATAAATGCAGCTGGTGGGATAGCGTGTAGACATTGGCTGTAAGTTGGTGTGACAGTCGCTCCTGACGTCACCGTCTTAGTTGCATCTTCATTGTGCCTGGAGTCATGTGACCCAGGACTTGCCCAGGCTGCTGGGTTTTCCCCAGGTTTGTTTTTCTCAGGTTGTTGTTCTGGCCCAGCCACTCCCTTCATCATGAGGAAGGCCTCTGGAATCCCAGACCTCTGCCTCGGGTCTGTCTATTTGGACCTACTGATACCGCTGTTTGTGAAGTGGGGATGCCTCTGTCTAATAGATTTGGGGCTGAGTGTCGCCAATGCTGGGTGATACCAGATGACACCAGATTGGGTGTTTTATTTTAGACGGTTCCCCCCCGAAGCCTGTGCTTGTGAGAGAAATTCTGTCATGAGGGATTTCTTATCCCTATTTTAGGAGGATAATGCCATAAACTGGTACCAGCTAAATATATATGGTTATTAGGTAATGCCCCCAGAGAATAAGTCGTAGTGGTGGAGTATAGCCTAGGAGGCTAACGGGTGCAGTTGTCCTAGCCAGATGACAGAAGAGACCTGTAGGAGGACAGTAGAGATTAACTTCACCTAGGTCAGCGTATGGCTTACGCCCATGTCATAGGGTAGCTTTAAAAAAATCCCCTTAGCCTCTCAGACATTTTTCAGTTATCTTCCCAGGACTCAGATGTGATCATTCATTCACTCATTCCTACATTTATCCAGGTATTCTTGAGTGTCTTGCATCATGGAAGGAGCATTCTGTTGCCTTTCATGGTTGAAAACTTGGGCTCTTCATTGCCCACTGAAGGGTACTTGCATTTAGCCTGGCACGTAGGACCTTCAGTTGTTGGGTGAAATAGTGATTACTTATTTGTACTTCTTTATATGAAGCCCACTGTCAAAAAAGACCTCTGTCAAGTTGGACAGTGGAGGAAGGTGGGGGTTTCAGGGTGGACACAGGGAGGAGCTGGGAAAGGGGAGAGGATTACGAAGCCAGCCCCTGCCTGAATAGTAGAAACTTCTTGTTCGGGAAAGCTTTCCTGAGCATCATACTCCACATAGATAGGACTAAGGAGGATGACTACATTCTACAATCAGGGCTAAGGGGCGGAGAGAATGAGAACATCAAGACTTCTTTGGGGCCATCCAAGAAGGGAGTCCGGTAAGGGACCTCAGTCCCATGCTAGTGTGGACCACAGATGACCAGCACCAGGACTCCTCAGATCTGTCTGTCTCTGAATTGCCCTCCCTTTTCTTCACTTTCGCCTCATGTTTGCTTCTGCATAGTGACTAGCACTGAAACTCTTATTAGGCAAAGGGCCTGTGTGCACATTAAAGGGATAGCAAGAAAAGAGGGTTGGGGACAGACGTAATCCAGAATGAGGACTGGAGAGAGGAACAGTGGGTGGCGGCAGCTGTGAAGAAAAAGAACAGTAGATAGGAATCCTGGCAGAGAATGAGCATGAATACAAAGCCTAGGATGGAACGACGGTATAAGTGATGGTTGCTGTGTGGAAATAACAGCAGGCTGGAGCTGCTCTCTGAACTGTACGGGAACAGAAAGGCCTGCACAGGGCAACAGGTTAGGCTGCAGAGAAGTTCCTACCCAACCCCATAACTTGAAGCTGGCTCAACTTGGCCATGTTCCAGGCGATCCACAAAAACAGCTGCAGGCACTCCAACTCTGTGCCCAAAATCTTCAGGGCCCTGGGGCCTATCCTGGTATCCTAACCGAGCCCATTTCAGCCACTCTCAGGTTGGTAGAATGGAAAAGATAGGGCAGGTGATGGCAGCTGTGAAGAAAAGAGGAAAGCAAACCGAAGGCCTGTAGTCCAGAGATGTGAAGAGAGGACTGCATAAGGCTGTGGTCCTCTGCTCACAGATGCCCCACCCTGTTCTGGGGCCCTTACAGTGGATCCACGCAGCAGGCTGCCCACCACTGGAAGTGCGGGGTACACAGACCAGCCTCCCACGGCCCCCCAGCCTGCTGTCCTGCTCATGCTCCCTAACTCCTGGGTCCTTACTCCAAGGTTCCTGATGTTTACCTCAGTCCTTTGCCATTTGGCCCTTGTTATTTGGATCTTTTTCCTGGTCTCCAGTCCTCAGATATCCACAGGATATCATGCAACTGTGGCCATCGGGAACAGACATTGCACCTTGTCTGTTGGGCAGCCCAAGAGACCCACAGAGGCCCCCTGAGGCTGCACAGCCTCCTCCCTGGGACGGTGGGATTCAGTACTCCCACTTGGGCCAGTTAAGGCTGCCCATTCTTCTCAAGTAGGCCGTGAATTTTCCCTACTACAATATTCCATGGCTGGCGTGGCATCCTTCTCTGTGCTGCTGGAGTGCAGTTTGAGCCTCCCTGCGGTCCTGATCACAGGCGGCCCTGTGTTATTGTCTGTGCTGTGCCCTCTAGGCCTCCGCTAGACTGTGAACTCCTTGAGGGCCAAACCTGTCTGATTCCTCACTGTCCTTTTCACCTTGAATCACAGTGACTTATTTATAAACATGTGCTTTTTCTGTCATATTCTGAATTCCCTGAAGAGAAGGACTCTGTGTGAGTCCTCTCTTTGTCCTCTGCACCCAGCACAGGGCCTGGCACAGAATAGACAGCAGTCAAGTTATGCTGAATTAATAAAGGTTTTAAAGACCCTTGGCCTCCTGGAGCTAATTGGGAAGCTAGAGGGAGTTTCCCCCCAGGGAGGAGTGTGTTGCATCCCTCTGTGGCTTCAGAGCCCTCGTAACCTGGTGGACACGCACCCTAATGAGCCTTCTCTGTGCCGACCTGCTTCCAAGGACAGTCACAGCATTTCCTGGGAATAGCTTTTCTCTGGCTTGAGCTTGGTCCTGCCTGATGTCCCAAGGATCACAGTCCAAGCCCAAAGCCAAGCCTTGATTTGGGGTTCTCATTTCACTGGTATTCCCCTTGGGTCTTTGGTTGGCTTTTCTGTAACTGCCACTCCTCTGGGACTCAGAGGGAGTTGCTGGGCTCAGCATGTTCCGAGTGTGTCTTGGCTCTGTGATCCCAGGTGCCAGAAATGCTCTCTGTACTGTTAAAACAACCATGACTCTTTGAAACAAGAAAGATGAATAAAAAGCAGAATTCTGGTGACTGTTTTTTCTTGTTAAGGAAACCGAGATCATTATCATCCTGATACTTATATCTAGTTTGTACCCAACTTCTTTCAAAGAATGGATTTAAGGCACTTTCTTGCTTTTCCTAAGAACTTTTACTTTCAGGAAACTTGATTAATAATCCTGTGCACTTTTACACATTGTTACTGGAACATAGTTACCTATTGAGGGCAGCAGGGCCGAGATGACTGTGACTGGCTACACTTAGCTATTGGAGGTGACAGAATGCAAGACCTTCCTCCGCCCCACACACCACCATCTGACACCAGCCCCAGTGCTTGTTACCGCACATCTTCCTTTTTCAAAACACCTTGAGGTTACTCTCAAATGGTAGCCGGGGAGGCCACAGATACTTACCTCAGTGAAGCAGGGCGATAGCTTTAACTTGAGATTTTCGCTAGACTTCCTGTTTGTTCCCTTGGATGCTTAGAGCACCGATTCCACCAGTTTGTTTCAGCATAACTCCAGTTCCGTCAGTAGGTCCATCTGCTTTTTAAAAACAAATTGAGTATTGAAAAAGTTTCAAATGGGCATATCTTTCATCATAACACTGAATCGTGATGAAAGAATAAATGAAGTTCAGGGAACTGTTCATTTCTTAGTTTTACAATTATATAATCATTTTTAAAAATCCAGTGACCTAATCTGTGTGTTGTGTTAGATTGCTTAACGTCTGAGGGCCCTTCAGGGTTTGAGAGGAATATGCATAAACTACTGCATATACTTTGGAGCTCAATTAAACTCACGTTCAGTAAGGCATTGAAAACCTCTTAAATATTTAAGCAATAACATTGGATGAATCAACTGCCTGAAACATAAATACCATTTACAAATTTAGTATAGCTGATCCTTTTGAACATTTCAAACACCATAAATAGTAGATAAAACAAATAAAGCCAACGATCAGAAAACATCCTCCTACCAACACGGAGTACAAAAGAGTTGATGCCGTGGATTTAACTTTGTTCCTTATCCTTACACCTCTTGGGACTTCTAACTTTTAAACTTCCTCAGAGTTTTAGTAACTTGACCAGACCCGCCTCCCACCACCACCCTCCTAGGGATCTAGTGATAGCAGATCCAAAGGAAAAAGACAAACTCTCCACTGGGAGCATGAAACTGGGAGGTTGGGGGCCTGGACCGCGGACGGCCCTCCTGTCCTCCTCGGCTGGTGGGGATTGCCTGTGTGCAGAAGCCAGAAAGAATGGAGCCAGGCAGAAACAGTCCTGATGACATCCACACTGGTCCTCCCTGTTATGGGAAATACACCCCCCCACCCCCAACCTTTATTTGACTTTTATTTCTTAAGCTAATTTGAGTTGGATATATTGGGTTGTTGGAAAAGTCGATGCATTTTTGCAACGAAAAACAGAAAAAATATGTCACGACTTTTCCGACAACCCAATATATATAGCTTGCAACCAAACAAGTACAAATGCAGATTTTTCTCAGATTTGATTAACTGGTACCACAAGCTGTTAGTCACCATCTGGAGCAGCATTACAGTCATGAGAAATTAACTTTTAATACAGCCTACTAACATTTGACCAACAGTCTTATCTAAAGGGTATGTTGCCAGGAGAGACCTTGGGATAGAAGGAGGAAGGACTGGATAGGGTGAGTCAGGAGTCCAGGGTGCTTGTCCTAGAGCTTGCCACTGATGTGTTGGACAACTATGTGCCAGTCACTGGCCCTCTCAGCTATAGCAGGAGAATGATCCTTGCTCGCCGAGTGGTTGGGTCTGATGAGCTGCTAGTGAATCCTCAAAAGGGTTTAGGAAACAGTGCAGTGTCATGTAAATAGCAGATATATCCCCTTTCACTCATTGATCTCTATTATCCATCAGGATTGGCAACATTTAACAGTTGAATGCTGAAAATGAGGGAGATGGATAGGAGGGGAGGAAGGCAGGGTCCAATGGGGAGGGTACTCCAAGGCTGACAGATATTTTGCCTCAGCTCCACCTTGTCCTCAGAAAACTGCCCAACCTCCTGACCTTGGCCCAGACCTTTTGCTCCCTCACTATAAGTGATGATGACTCAGCTTCGGTACAGAAGAGGGAAATCTCAGCTCCGAGTAAGGAGGGAGTTTGTCTGAGTCAGCTCTGTTCTCTGTGCACACCATAGATCCAGGCCTAGCACAATATAGGAGAGAAGGATGCAAGGGGAATAACATTGGTGAAGTACCTACTTTGTGTTTTAAGGTATACATGCATTCATTTAATTCAACAATCCATTTTAGAGATACGCAAGTTGAAACGCAACCAGGTTACAGGATATGTTCCCAATGTCACATACCTGTAAGTGATGAAGTCAGACCTGATTCTAAACCTATATTTTTGTCATATGGCAACAAAGACAGAACCGGGGGTGATACCTTGCAGACTGATGTGAGGCAGAGTCAGTGCTTCTAAGTCCTTGGAACATGGGGTATTTGGCAGCTGTAGTAATAACATGTCTCACAGTTGCACTGGGGTGACCTCTCAAACCAAAAATCCTCCCCCCTTTTATTTCATCCAAGAGAAATGCAGTCGCTTTTCTCCCTTGGGTGGAAGCCCAGCTCTAGCTGGAGATTACTCTCCAGCACCCCCAACCTTCAGATCATCTGCCTTCCAAGACCCAGAGTCATCCTAAACATAGATTTTTGTTGTCATCAACTAGGAATAGAATCAGAAATGAGAGCATGGATTCCCTTGAGAGGTAAACTTAGAACTTGGCAGCGGGTGAAGCTGACTTAGTGCTGAGTGAGAAGGTCAGGGGCCGGCAGACACTGGGCAGGTCTCTGAGCCACATGTTGGAGACAGCAAGGCTGCCCCTGCATTTCCTCTCGGTGGACCAGTCCCTGGAGCTGTCCCCAGTGGCTGGGCCTGAGCCCCTCACGCAGTGTGGAAGGGCCTCCAACCATTGTCTCTAATCCCCACAACAACCAGGCAAGCAAGGCGTTATTGTCCCCAACCTACAGACCAGGAAACAGCCTTGGAAAGGTTACATAACATGGGCAAGGGTCTCAGCTATAATTTCTTCATCTGTAAAAACTAGGATAAAGTAGCTCATAAGGTTGTTGTGAAGGTTATGTGAGATAATGTATTTAAACTTAAATAAAAATTTAAAAGTATTTGGCACATAGTCGATATTAAAAAAATGGGAGTTGTCATAATTGTTATGACTTTTCCCTGTAGGAATCATATTAGCTGATCACGTGTGTGCAAGGTGTTAGCAGTACTTTTCAAGCTTATGTGTCCATGTGAATCACCTGGAGAGGGTTTTTTGTTTGTTTTATTATTAGTTTCAGGTGTACAAAACAATGCAATAGTTATCATTTTCATCCCTCACAAAGTGACAACCCCCACCCCCCCATCCAGGGCCCACCTCGATATCATACTTACCTATTACAATTCCATTGACTCCATTCCCACATTATACTCCACATTCCATGATATATATGTAGGAGAAGGGGAAGGGATGAGACAACAAAAATTGGTCACAACAATATGGCCTCAGGGATAGAAAAGACAGTTTGGGGAATATAATCAATAAAGTTGGAGAGGTTTTAAAAAATAGGTTCCTGCCTCCCTTCACGAAAATCTAATTCAACAGGTCTGGGGTGGGGCCTGAGAATGTGCATTTCTAACAAGTTCACAAGTAGATGCTACAGGTCTGTGAACTACTCTAAGTAGCATTATGTTACAATACTCACCGGTCTATCTGTTACCTCACCTACCTCCTACTCACACTCTTGCCAGTGCTGTGGGGTAGGAGGAACAGGCTGCTGCTACTAGTAAGGTCCACGTGGAACCAAGTTTCAGTTCCCAAATAGGTGTCTAACCTGGCTCTCCAGCCTGCCAATTGGCTGGCTCCTTCCTAGGTCAGAAACTCAGCCTTCCCGCAGCATTGTAATTGCCTGGGATTCTTACTGGTATTCTTGCCAACTCTCATGGAAATGAAAGGTGACAGCACAGCTTGGACACAGACCTGGACCTGTGGGCACAGGGTGCTTTTTCACCTGCAGAGCAGGTTTGCAAGACTCTTGGGCGCAGCCAGGTCTGGTAGGCAGTGGACAAAGAAGTCTTGGGACTCGGCTCTGTGATGAGGGGCTTTCTATGCCTGCAAAGGGGAGACTAAGGGTCAGCACAGGGTATGAGCTAAGCCTGGACAGTTGCCAAGCTAGAGATTGCTGAACCCCATGGGTTTGACAGTAAAATGTGAGATTCAGGGGCAAAGGGAGTGAGGCTACATGGCACCCATCAGTCAGTAAGCTGACCCTATGTCTGGTCTGCACTGTCGTGTTATGCCCTTGGTGGTCACACTGTGTGTGCCCATAAGGCGCAAGTCTTCTGTACTGTCTCTTGATACCCCTCTCTTTAGCACCCTGCCCTCAGGGGCTCCAGAGCCAGATTTCTTTGGGGTGAAGACATTGGAAAATGGTCAGGAAGCAGCAGCACCTTTCCTGCTATTCTATATGCCTGAATTGAAAGTTTGGGTTTTTTAGTTAAAATTGAATGATGGCCATAGGCCATGGAGTTTGGGTCAAGGCCAAGTCCTATGGGTAGGTATGAGCTTTTAGGGGAGGGTGCCATGCCCTTTTGTTCACCATATTATTTTATCCCCTAGCATAGTAGGTACTTAATAATATTTGTTGAATGAATGAATGAATGAATGAATGAATGGCCATTCCAGCTTCAATCACTTAAAGAAGTAGAGAACCAGGGCCAGCTGAGCAGCTCAGTTGGTTAAGAGCTCGCTCAAAGGTTTGAGCTCTGAGCAACAGTGGTTTGAGTCCGGCCCCAGCTGAGCTGCCGCTGAGCTGCCAACAGGTGGCAGGATGGCTCAGCTAAAAAAAAAAAAAAAAAAAGTAGAGAACCTCCAAAATTGGGAACTCAAAGGTGGGGCTTAGGCAGGATAGGACACGCCTGCCTTTCCCGACCTCACTCCTTTAGTTTGCAACTTCATATGTGACATGGTTGGTCCTGGTAGGC